TTCCAAAAACCATATCAGATAAAAAGTGAAAACTAGTGAGACAATCTCAGATAGTGCAGAGCGCAATTGATAGCTCTGGTACAGTAGTCCCATAAGTACTCACCCCTACTCGATTCACTTCCGGTTTGTGTCTATCTTGGTAGTCTGCTACGGCTTTTCCCCTTTGCAGTGTGTATGTTTCAANCGTTTTTTAAATGAATTTACTTTGTTTCGGTATTCTGTCACCACAGTGACAGAAAAGTAAGTCAACAAAGTGGCAGCAATAAATCAGCTGCGATGAGCGGGTTACTCGGGTCAATTTAAAAATATCTTTTAAGATCTTGGTTTTATTTTACATTTGTACAAAGTAACGCCGAGAAAACATTGGAGAACCACTAAACCTCGCTAGCAATGATATGAATCACAAACAAAACGTATAAAATAACGAGCGAACGTCGATGCTTTGTTTTGAATATCCACAACAAAGAAAGATTGTTTCTCCTCTGCTGTTATCACCTGCTGTGTTGTGAGGATAGGAAATATAATTGTGCCTAGTTGACCTCCATTCATTGATGAGGTAATTTCCGCACAAAATCGTCTGAAGAAAACAGCGCAGGCGTTTAATTAAGTTATATCAAGTGCCTTTTTTGTCAAAACGATCACTTTTTGGTGCCAAGTTGACGACGTTTTGGTCAAAAGAACTCTGTATATATAAATTCCGGTCTATGCTAACCACGGTAAACATATCAGCGAACAGACCGAACAAAACTTGCGTTGGACGCGATCGACAGTAGAACGCGACATTTTTCAAGATGGCTGGAGAGGTGATTCACTTGGCAAGTGCTGTATGCCTATCCATTTTATCTGTTACCACAGTTACAAGCAATGTTCTTTTCCTTATTGCTATTTGGAAAGATCCACTGAATTGTTTTAGTGCCCCTACAACAAGTTTTATTGTGGGAATAAGCCTGGCAGATTTGATAACTGCTCTAACGACGGAGCCATTTTTCGCAGCGTACTACTACGTTTGGTACTCCGAAGGAATAGACGAGGTTAATAGCGCTTTAAAAACGCTTTTTAAAGCAGGAAGCAACATCTCCACCGTGGCTATCTGCTATTCATTCCTGATTGTTTTGGCCTTATCTTGGTCTCAGTACATCGCAATCAAATGCCCGCACAGTTTCAAAAGAATAGTCACCAAGAGAAACGCGATTATTTTCAGTTTACTGAGCTTGTTTTATTTAATCTGCTTCACATCTCTGCAGTTCATGGGAATGGATCAATACACCTTTCTTAAAATTAATCTGGCTGTAAATTCTTCGTTCCTGTCAGTGAATTTGATGGTAATCTTGCTTTTATTGAATGCAGCTTTTAGACGCCATGTTAAGCGAGGGCGCGCTTTTCAAATGCCGGCACAACAATCTTCTCCAAGACGCAATCGGAAAACTCGCCGTGAAAACCTGCAGCAACAGTTTACGGCTGTAGCAATGTACCTGGCAGCTATCCTCCTCTTGTCTGCCTTACCACATGTGATAACAGCTCAGATATTTCTTTATTCGTCCAACCAGTTATCTCCACAAGTTATTAAAAATTTTCAGATAGCTTTAGAAATCTCTGATCTGCTGTTATTTCTCAAAGTTTGTCTCGATACTTTTGTTTATGCCTGGCGCCTACCAACTTATCGCCGAACAATAAAGATGCTCTTTTTTCGTCGAGAAACGGATAGAAATAGGTTCGTAAATAATAGAAATGCTAATATCTCTATAGATATTTCACTTTCTCCACAGTCATGACTGTTTTCTTTAATTATAAAATAACTAGAACAATTAACCCAAATAAATGAACTTAGAAACAGTTTGAATTCAAAACAAGTTTCCAACCAAGAGTGGGCGAAGATATTTTCATGGCGTAGTTAGCGTTCTTTTCTACATTCTGAGTTCATGTATTCTTTTTGAAGTTCAGATTTTTTAATTTCCAAAGGCTGTTAGACCCGTGTAATCAATGCTTGTCTTTTGTTGTTTGGACAGTTTGACACGTACACTTAAAGAATGTATTAATATTACTATTTTGCAGCCGGCATAACACCTTTTCTTTGAAATCAAAATCCCAAGAAAATCGATTAAACAATCCATGCTACCAGAAAGAAAAAACAAACAAAACTCATTTTTTTTTAAAGAAATTAGAAAGTATTGTAAGCAGCACACGGGATGGACCCAAGCTTCGTGGAGCACTGAAGTAATAAAGATAATTAGTTCCAGTAATTTGAAGTAATGAAAAAACTGATCGACCTGGAAAACTGGCATTGAGAAGACATGTTTGTGCAAGACACCAAGAAACACGTTTTTTCGTCTACTCCTCTTCCCAGTTCCCGCCTTACCCTTCTCTGCAAACAATTCCTGTGGAATGATCGAGCGATTTGAACAGTTTGCTCAAAAGCGAGAAAAACGCTCACAGTATTTTAAATATTGAGTCTAGTTTAATTGCTTTATTGGCACATTTAAGTCCGGACAAATATTTCATTTCCTTACTACAAGTGGTAGTTTGCTTTGAACTTCCTGGTGGTGAACGTTTTCAAAACTGAAAAATCTTTCAGTCTACATAGTTTTCCGTGGCTTTCCTTCAGATCGTTTCAGTCGTCCTTCATTCCACATTTCAATGTTGTTTGATTATCGTCAATTGTTTGCTGAGTAATATTTATCTTATTCATCCAAAAACATAATGAAGAACCTTGCATAATTTGGTTTGTATGCAAAGTAGAGTGTAGACCATAAATTGATATCAAAGTAAGTTACTAGGATCTCTTTTGATATCAAGCCGAATATTATGGACTAATAGCAGAAATCGTTAATTATTGATGTAAAAATGCGCTCTGGATTGCTGAGCAATCGGACTGAAGACTGATTGATTGATCGATTCAATGATTAATTTACGGATTAATAGATTGATTGACTGCTTTTAAATTGATTTATCATGATTGATTGATTTGTCGATTTATCCAACGATTTCGACTTCCTTCTTACTTATGACACATTGGAATGAGTCATGTTTCAGCTCTCGTAAAGTCTCACATGAATGGCTTGAAACGCTTTGTGAGGACAATAGAACAAACAACAGAAACAATGTCCCCTAGCCCCAATACAATAACAGCTGCTGCAATGACGACAAATCGATTGACAAGCGACGCAATTTTTGTTTAATGTATCATATCATCGCTGATATCTCCTTTATTTCACCGCGAATTTGGCTGATGAGGCATTAAGTCTATTCTAAGTGTATTAGTAGTTCATCGAATGTGTTCGTCCAGGTCCTGAGAAGAGAACCGTTGTTTATGACTGACCTCTGGACAACCTTNCGCTGATATCTCCTTTATTTCACCGCGAATTTGGCTGATGAGGCATTAAGTCTATTCTAAATGTATTAGTGGTTCATCGAATGTGTTCGTCCAGGTCCTGAGAAGAGAACCGTTGTTTATTACTGACCTCTGGACAACCTTTAATTTTTTCAACCACCAAGAACACGTTGATCACTCTACGAAATACAGGAACAATGTTTATGTTCTGTGCAGGGACGGATCCGGCCCGTGGTATTCTTTTCTTCGCTAGAAAGGACGGAACCCAAGTGAAAATGGGGGTGAAGAGTGGAGTGAAGGTGGCCCCCTTTACCCCAATAGGAAAAGGGAGGGGTCCAAAATTTTCGGTACCCAGCCGCGACGACCATTACCATGACGACCGAGCTCTTCCCATGTCTCCACGTCCGCGGTTTTGCGTGGGTGGGCGATGATCTTCTGGACTTCTTTGCAAGCGTCTTCATTGCAAGTATTTTCCTTGCCTCCCAGGGTTTCCTTGAAAGCAACTAGCAAAGGAAAATCTTCATCTGGAAGCTACACGTGGTTAATTAGACCCTTCAGTTGCTGTTAATGGTTCCAACGTATGCTGGGCACTGAGTAGTCGAACGGCAAGCCATGAATTCTACGAATGCGACGAACACAACTATTTATGACGGTGAGTGGGAAGTATTCAACCGAGTAGAAGCGTTTATTATTGTTGCCTTATCTGTCCTTGCTGTGGTAACAGTTGTCAGTAACGGCGTATTTCTGTGGACTTTCTACAAAGACCCTCTGAAGTGTCTGCGAACACCTTCTGCTATTGTGATCGCTGGTTTAACAAGCGCTAATTTTCTGACTGGCCTGATCGTCGAGCCTGTGTTTGTGGCGTTCTATTTGTGGCAGTACACCGCCGATGAGGAGGAATGGGGAGTCTTTTTTCGCTTCGCCCAAGCCTTTTCTTTCGTAACAATGAACACCTCATTCCTTCTGATGTTAGCTCTGGCAATAATTCAGTATTTGCTGATTAAGTACCCCAGGGTTTACCAAAAAATTGTCAGCCGCACGAGTGCAGTTTGTGGAGTGATAGCAATCTGGATTTATGCTATCTTTTTTGCTTTGTTGCCGGAGATGTTTCATGTCGACGGGTTGTCCTACTTCTTGGCCGACATGATACTTCATGTAACAATGCTGACGATTGTTCTCGTGATTCTGTACTTAGCTATATACTTTGAGTTTCGTAAGTTAGCTCAACGACATCGAAATGCAGATTTAGGACAAAACACGGAAGGGGAAGGGTCTGTCGTGGAGCCTTCAGAGTCTGAGCAGCAACGCCGTCAGGCCGAAAAGGATTTTGTCTATGGAACATTTATTTTGACACTTATTTTGATCATAACTGTGTGGCCATTCTGTATATCTCTGTACGTAACGATTTGCTGCTTCTCAATTGAAGCGTATATTGCAGTGGTGGTCACGCAGCTTTTCTTGCTGTGGAAGTTTGCAATGGATCCGTTCGTGTTTGCATGGCGTCTACGGAAGTTCAGAAAGTCACTGGTGCTTGCCATTCAGGGAAGCTGTCTCTGTCCCAAGACATCAACACTGGGAGCTATGTATGTCAGAGAAGAGGCAGCAGCCAGTCCTAGACTAGAGGTTGATGATGAGGATGTGGATGTGACTTTTGTAGATAACACAGATGCAGCAGAGCAGCAGTAAAACTGTAGGTGTAGTGGAATCCTGATTTCTTCCCAGACGGAAGGGGGGAGGGGCTCCCATATAGAAGGGAAGGGGATGTTTGTCGGAAATTTTGAAAAGAACCCCTAAGAGGCACCACAATCCTGTTTTATGGGCATGGCTTGAAATTTTTACCAGCTCTAAGAGGTACCAATTCTAAGACAGCACAGCATCTCCTGTCATATTTTTTTCAGCTCCGTACCCTAAAAGGTACCAAAACCATTTTTTTTTTTATCCCCTGAAAGGTATGATGAGCACCCCTGTCCTTTTTATAAAGGTGTCCCTCCGCCCTGGAATTGCTCAACCCTCCCGATAACTCAAATTAAGTTTTTTTCCCTCTCCTCTATCAAACACTGTAATTTTATGCCCGATTTCTTAAACTACCCAATTTTTTAAACCAATTTTCATTTCCTTTGGAGGTTTAAAAAATAGGGATTCCACTGTATCAGCGTGACAACAAGGAATTAACATCAGCCAGTGAGAGGCACGGTGGTCTCATGGTTAGTGTGCTCAAATCCGGAGTGAGCGGTCTGGGTTCAAGCCGTGGCCGGGGACATTGTGTTGTGTTCTTGGGAAAGACACTTAACTTTAATGGTGCCTCTCTCTACCCAGGTGTACAAATGGGTACCGGCCAACTTAATGCTGGGGGGTAACCCTGTGATAGACTAGCATCCCATCCGGGGAGAAGTAGAAATACTCCTAGTCGATTCATGCTACGGAAACCGGGATAAGCTCCGGCCTGATGGGCCACTTGGCTCGTATGCAAACTTTATCTACCCTACCTTGTTTAAATTACTTAATAATGTTTTGGATATAGTACCTATAGTATATTTGGGAACCCATGTGAAATGTTTTGACCCACCAATTTTTGCTTACATCTCAATAGCACTGCCACTCTTCAGCTACCTAAAATGTGTTTAATGCTGAAAGCTAGCCTTGCAGTGGACTAGCGTCCCATCCAGGCGAGAATAGAAAAACTCTTGTTCACTTAATGCTAATGAAACTAGACCACTCAGCTCAACACAGACTTTACCTAAGGTAATATATTGTTGGTTTTCAGTGTCACGCAATTCAAAATAGATCA